GGAAGGAAGAGAAGGATAATAGTAATGCAGTTTTAGTAAATTATTGACAGTGTTGTGGGAATTAGTTGTTTAGCAGAGTGATGGCATTCGGGAAAAAGCTGTCATTATGTGTACTTGTTCTGATGTGCGGTGCCCTATCGCGTCATTTTGAGGGTAGAAGTTGAAACAATTTATGTCCAGGATGCGAGGGGTCTGTAAATATTTTCTCAGCCCTCTTTTTGACTCGTGCAGTATACAGGTCCTTGATGGAAGTCAGGTTGCTAGAAATTGTTTTTTCTGCAATTCTAATTACATATTGAAGTCTCTGTCTGTCTTGTTTGTTTGCAGAGCCAAACCAGACAGTTATGGGGGTGCAGATGACAGACTTAATAATTCCTCTGGTCATGAGGTCCATAGCAATATATGACCTACCTGGACCTCGTTTATATAATGAAATGTATTATGGCTGCCCACTCCAGAAGGCTCTGAGCAGAGTCTTACAGCATTTTACAAAAGTCAGAAATCATTTCTGTGATTCATTGAATTCTAAAACAATTGTAGGTTCTGAAAAGGCCCAATTCTATACTGATCTGAAGAGCCTCCTCCATCCATCTTCTCTTTGTGTATTTTCCAGACTGAACTTCAGTGTGAACAGCTAAGCCACTCTCGTTTCCTTTTGTAATCCTGATGAGCTCTTAAGTGAAATCAAGCGCACAAGTCACGGGTGTCAAACTCAATCATGTCACATGATGTATCGCCATGTTTTTTTTGCCTTTATGGAGCTGGGGTGGGCGTGTCCTGCATGTGACGCATCCGGCCTGTGGGCCGCCAGTTTGACATCCCTGGCATAAATGAAGGATGCAGATGTTCATGCTGGCCTTTCTTCAAAGGAATGAAGTAAATTCTGCCTTTGTTTGCTTAAGTATAACTAGAGCTCTTTGGTTCATCTGGAAAAAATGCAGGAGTTCTGGTTGCATGAACTTTTTTTTTCTACTTGTGTTGATGTCCTGTTACTAAGCTTAATTATTGGACATGTATTTATTTGCCAGATTTCTATCCCATTGCATTCTGAACAAATTATCGGCAGCACATGACAAAGTAAAACACAAGATACATAAGCAAAAGACCAATCTCCACTAACAATAATTAAACGAGATCAGACTCCAGAAGAGTCCTGTCTTACTGTTCTCCTTGAAAATGAAAAACATCAGAGCTAAAATAACCCCCAAAAGGGAGGCCCAACCCAGAGGGCCAGCCCTACAACCGTTGGAACTGTTGACCTTCCCAAAATGGGAAACAACCAGCTTTGGAACCGTTGACCTTCCCAAAATGGGAAACAACCAGCTGCTTTTCGGGGCACTATCAGATTCTCCCATGGAGAAAGGCAGTGCTGCAAGTAACTTGAGCCTACAGGTCTTTTAAACTTTTAAAAAAATGGCACTTTGAATTGTGTTTGGAAGCTAATAAGGAGTCGGTGTAGGATCCTTCCCCATTGGGCATCATATGATCCCACCAACTCTTGCTGGTAAGCACTAGGCCGTTGCGTTTGGCACCTGCTGAATATGTTGCACTAATCTAAGCAACATACTGATACAAGGGTGTGAGCCACTGGAGTAAAGTCCTCGGGTCCCAGGTAAGGCCACAACTGGTGTACCAAGCCAGAGCTGGGCAACCAAAGAACTGGATGTAAGCAACCTTCCTCATACTGGCTTCTTTTGGATAATTGGATTTCAGGTCCTCTCATCAAAGGCCATGCTTGCTGGAGAACTGAAGGGGGAAAATGTTGGTCTAAGCCACAGGTATCAAACTCGATTGTGTCACATGACGTATCGAGACTTTTTGGCCTTTGCAGAGCTGGGGTGGGTGTGGCCTGTGCATGATGCATCCAGCCTGCAGGCCTCCAGTTTGACATCTTTGGTCTAAACCCAGAGTCATGAACATCTGTTTAATCTCTCTTTTTCTCTCTCCCCCTCCCTCCCCCCCCCTCTCATATATCTATCTGGAAAACAGGTGCCATTGGTGGAACAGCATTTAGAGAATGAATTTGGTCCCTATATGAAGCATTCATACCGAACACTAGGACTGAGTGGGGCGTCTCAGCTGAAATTTTCATTCCCTGAACTAATTAGAGATTATGATGTGATTATTTGTACAGCTAAGATCCTGGAGAATGCATTGGAGAAAGTGTATGAAGATGGTGAAGAAAGGGTCCAGTTATCAGGCATGTATAGATATGCTGTGTAGATCTGAACACCAAATGTATTGCAGTAGGAGTAGGCAAACTGACATCATTCCATCCTCTTATTTGGCCCTCCCCACAATAACCACCAACTCATGCCACCAACATTCATGTTGCATGATTTCTGCTTGGAGAACACCCCCAAAAGGTGCAAGGTGCATCTCTTAGCCTTAACTAGGTTTAATAATATCTTGAGCATATAGGTCTCCTCCCAGCAAATACATCTTTTTTAAAAATTGGTCCCATTTTCAATAGTACAACTAGACTAATAATGCTTGCAGCTCATGGCGACTGAAAATAATACCCAAAATATTATAGTCATAGATGAAAAGGAACCCACCCTGAATCCTTCAAAAGCACATTTGGTCCTGTCTGCCTCTTATTTGTGAAACACAGCCAAACCTAGACATTGGGCTAGAAAATGTTTATAGCCTAAATCAGGGATCCATATCGGTTTCCTTCAGAAAATTTCCCCTCCATTTGTGACTGTTTGTGCAGAGCAAATAGTTGAGAGAGGAAGAAAATACTTTGGGCAGCCTTAGCACGGACCTAAGAGACTAAAGTGCAATCCAGGCAGTGAAACTGGAGGAAGCCTATTCAGAATGAATATTTCAATTTTTAGTTGTACAAAAACTAAAAGCATTGATTTCTCAGAAACCTGCGAATCTGCAGCATGGTAAATGATTGAGAATGAATGATACAAAGTTTAATTGCAGCCACATCATCTAGGCTACAAATTCTGCAGTCTGTCATGGAAGTACAGATAGTCCTTGTTTAGCAACCAAAATTGGAACTGGAAACCCAGTCACTAAGTGAAATAGTCTAAATGAAACCATAACTGTGTTTATAATTTTACTTCAGCTCTTCTTTGCTTTACAGACCTGCAAAAGTTTTATTTATTTATTACATTTATATGCCATCCATCTTGCTCTCTTGCAACTCTTTAATTGTGAACATTGCTCGCAGAGTTACTCCATCGCTGTTGTAACTGCAAACTCTTGCTGAATGAGGACTATCTGTCAAACTTCTTAAAGCTTTACGTGAGAGGATTAATGATAGGTATTATATACTGGAGCACCAAAGAATTTAGGCCTTTGAACTCTGGTGCTGGAGAAGACTCCTGTGAGTCCCTTGGACTGCAAGGCAATCAAACCGGTCAGTCCTAGAGGAGATCAACCCTGACTGCTCTTTAGAAGCCATATCCTGAAGATGAATCTCAAATACTTTGGCCACCTAATGAGAAGAAAGGACTCACTGGAGAAGAGCCTAATGCTGGGAAGGACTGAGGGCAAAAGAAGAAGGGAACGACAGAGAACGAGGGGCTGGATGGAGTCACTGAAACAGTAGGCATGAGTTTAAATGGATTCCAGAGGATAGTAGAGGACAGGAAGGCCTGAAGGAATGTTGTCCGTGGGGTCGCGATGGATCGGACACGACTTCGCAACTAACAACAACTATATACTGAGGATTTCGCATGGTTTGGAAGACTCAGTTTCTCATTTTATGTATATATGGATAAATGCTATAGCAAAAGAACTTTCCAGAAATTCCTTGCCTTTCCTAAAGCCATACTGCTCTGGGAAATAATAGTTGCAGATTCAGCTACTTTTTTTAAAATGTTTTCCCCGAATATCATTTCTTGATGAGAACTCACCACTTGCTCTTCTCTCCATCTTCCTTCAGCCAAAATAATTGCTAGTTAAACAAAAAAAAATCGAGAAATCTTAACCTAACTTCCAGATGCCTTAGGTTTTTGCTGACTGAAATGTCTTTTCTGATGATATTGTCAAATACTTTTTATATCATAAGTAATTGTTCAAGTCAATAGCCCTTATTGGATAGAGGAAAAATGTCCCAGCCTGTCTGTTAGATTTCAGTAAAATTCCCCCTCCACCCCACCCCACCAAAGGCACTATATACACATTTGGATGAATATAGAGTTCCCTTGTAAAGAAGATATTCTAGTTGCAGGACTTCTAAGCGTCTGGCCAAACACATTTATAGACTCCTTTGCAATTCTATGTACTTTATGTACTAAATGTGCGAAGGGTGTGTAAATAAGCAGAGACTAGATAGATCATGGGTGTCAAACTCACAGCGTTATGTTGCCATCATGCGACATATCGCAACGTTTTCCCCCTTCGCAGGGGTGGGCATGGCCTCTGCGTGACACACCTGGCCCACGAGCCGCATGTTTGACACCCGTGGCATAAACTTTGAGATATAATACTGACTTGCCCATCATCTCTCTGTGTTTAGTTCTGATATAGAAATAAAATCAAGCCATTATCTGGCTGTATATTTAGATGTATATCTCACCTTTTGAATACACCATGTAAAATAACTCAAAAGCAAGCAAGAAACTGATGTTACGAATAGAAGAAAATGTCTGTAGCTCAGAGTTGAACTGTGGACTCCTTGGTGCTCCCTGAGCTTGGCTATTTGCTTGCAGATGTTTCATTATTACCTAATTAGATAACATCATCAGTGCTAATGAGTGTGGGGTTTGCTCCCTGTTTGTATACAGTAGTCTGGTCTGCTAGTATTGGTGGAAGTGTGGTTTTCTTCTTGGTAGTTCCTTAATTAGAATCTTGTTTTCTGCTTGATTGATTGTCTCCTGCATTAGGGTTTAGGGCAGGGATGTCAAACTCAAGGTCCAGGGGTCAGATCCGGCTCATGGGGTGCTTAGATCTGGCCTGTGGGACTGCCCTGGAAACAGCTAAAGGCCAGCCGGCAGTGCCTCTGCCAGTAAAAATGGAGCTCAAGCTTAGTTTTCGCTGGCAGAGGGTTGCAGGAGGCCGTTGCAGTTGAAAAGGGAGCTTGGAAGCCCATTTTTGATGGCACAACACTTGGGCCAGAGGCACTCCCAACATGGGCGACTCACCCTGGCCCCGCCCATCCCAGTCCTCCAAGGTCAAAAACAACCCTGATGAAATTTGAGTTTGACACCCCTGGTTTAGGGTATTAGGCTATAACAATACCCAATTCAAGTAACTTCTAAGGAGACAAAGAAGCAGAAAACAATATCCTAATTAAGAAACTACCAAGAAGAGAAGACCACACTCCCCCATCAACACTGGCAGGTCAAGCTACTCTATTTAAACAGGAAGCAAACCACACGCCCCCTAGCACTGATGTTATTACCTAGTCGGGCAATAAAATGCCTGCAAGCAAACAACCACATTCAAAGAGCACCAAAGAGTCCACAAGAAACGGTCTGATCAAAAGCAAAGAATCATTTGTTTTACCACAGCACCTATGAGCAGAAACACTATAACCAATTTGCACAACGTGTCTTCTAGTGTTCTCCTTGATGATCATTGACGAATGCCATCATACCCAGAAAGGAGCTGTCTATAACAATATAATGCGTTACTACTTAAAAGAAAAAAGGGAAAATGAGAAGCGAAAGAAAGAAGGAAAACGACTGGTGGCTCAGCCTCAGATTCTGGGGCTCACAGCTTCACCCGGAGTGGGAGGTGCAAAAAATCATTCAAAAGCAGACGAACATATTCTAACAGTAAGTTATACTTGATCATACAACTTTGGCAAATATTTTACAAGAGCAAACTTTATCATTGCTGGTTATAAATAGTGAGATCTTGCATGGAGCAGAGAATTTACTTTCACGTAGGAAATCAGTCAATGCCTTTAAGGAGCCATTACCAAAGCTGCTAAAAGAGTTTGCTTGGGTTTGAGTGGTCCTACAAGGAATATAGGGATATAATATAATATAGGGCAGCAATGGCAAACCTTTTTTGGCTCATGTGCCATAAGTGGGGAGAGCGCAGGGGGGTCACGCGCAGGCATGCCGCACCCATAATGCAATGCATGACACACCCCAGCGTGCATGCGCGCATGACAGGCGCTCCCCCCCCCATTTTTTGCATGCTTTTCTCGTACTTCCCAGGCTCCAGAGGCTTTATAGGAGCCTGGGGAGGGCAAAAGCAGCCTTCCCTGCCCCTCCCCCCCGGGGGCTTTCTGGAGGCTTCAGGAGTTTCCCTAAAGCCTTCAGAGTGCAAAAAAATGGCCCTATGGGCAAACCGGAAGTTGGGGAACGGACTTCCGGTTTGCTCGTAGGGCTGTTTTTAGTCCTCCGGAGCCTTCAGTGACCTTTAGAAGGTTTCTCTGAAGGCTCCGGAGGACAAAAAATGACCCTAAGAGCAAACCAGAAGTCATTTCTGGTTTGCTCATAGGGCCGTTTTTAGTCTTCCAGAGCCTTCAGGAACCTTCAACCTTAAAACTAAAAACAGCCCTATGAGCAAACCGGAAGTGACTTCCGGTTTGTCTGTTGGGTCATTTTTCATCCTCCGGAGCCTTCAGGAAAGCCTCCAGAAGGCTCCGGAGGGCTTAAACCGGCCCTATGAGCAAACCGGAAGTCCGTTCCTGAACTTCCAGTTTGCCCGTAGGTCCGGTGTTTTGCGCTCTTCAGGGAAGCTCCTGAAGCCTCCGGAGGGCCTCTGAGGGGAGGAGGCTGTTTTCGCCCTCCCCAAGCTCCTATAAAGCCTCGAGCCTGG